AAATATCCAGAAAACTTTATAAATTGTGTTTATTTTAGTCTAATGTGTTGAAATTTGTTATATATTGAACCATGTCTGCCCATTATTAATATTAAGTAGGCTCCCACATTATTGTTTTTTTTTGAAAATCACAGTTCATTTGACAAAAATTAAATGGAATCAAAACAAAGGAATGCCGATCAAAGCTTCAAGGTCAAGCTATCCGTTTGCACTGACAATCGTCTGCTCAGGCCTACACACGACACATCCGTCTGCTGTGCGCTTGCTATGTCACAACATTTTGTGATTGGGTATTTGGTAATCATGACAGCTTTAGTAGCCTGTGATTGGGTGATTAGTAACCATGGCAACTTGTTGAATGGATGGATGAAGAGAAACTTAACAAAGAATAGAGGAACAAAGAGAAAGAATAAGCGATGTTTTTATGTCATTGTTATTTTTATTTGTGTATTTTACGACTGTTGTTATGCTATAAGTAGGCTACTGTTATTTCATACTTTTTTATGCGTTATCTAATGTTTTGATCGACATTTTCTGTCCTGAAACAGCGTAGCAGTAGCCTACTAGACTTTCTAATGTTCTGTTCTTTATTTTGATGTTTGGCAATTTGTTAGAGTAAAAGTTTGAAAAAGCTGTAATTTTAAAAGTTACAGTTTTTATTACTGAACCAAGGGTAATGACATAACATAATTATCATGATTGCGCAATAGCCCACTAATTGTATTTTTATGATGTAATATGCAAATTATTACATTAACATCCATTTAGTTTATGAGTTGGAAATAACTGTTTCATGTCATGTTGGATTAACCGTGGTTATCATTTATCACTGGTCTGTTCAAAATACAGTTTTACTACGTTTTTATGTCAATAAACGCGTTCCTCTGATAATCCGACCTTTTTGCTGTTCCGACCATGCTCCCGGTCCCATAGGTGACGGATTAGCGAGGTTCTACTGTATAAGTTACGTCATATGAAACAGTTGTGAAAGAAAAAATAAACACTCCAGATCTCCAGGTCTCAGTCATAAACTGCTTTTAAAGTCCGTCGCCAGTTGTCTGACAAGAACGGAGTAAGGTTTTGGATTTATAAAATGCGAAAGATGTGGGGTGGACTTGGAATTTCATCAGTCTCGTTTGAGGCAATGACCAAAGCTAGAGAAATATTTCCTGTGGATCACGGTGAGACCGAACAGGAGAGATTCCCGAACTAATTGAAGAAGTCTCTCTTTCAGCTATAAAATAAAGCACAACAGCAAACACTGGTAGCCCTAAACACATTGGCCATCAAGCAAAGTTTTTTTAAATTTTTTACTTCAACAGGTTTCCTACCGTTCGTCTCATTCCTCTGTGTGTGAAGTCTCCACTCCAGACACCCAGTACAATACACTGTCTCGGTGGAAAGTGATGAACACCTGTCGTTTTGCAAATATGTATTACCCGCTGTGAGCTGTCTAAGCCACATTTTATACGTCAAAACACTTTTCTGTATGGATATATATCAACTGGCAACAGATTGTAACATGGGTTGACTAGTCCAGTAAATAGAGAAAGAAATAGGGGTGTTAACTTACAAACGGTCCGGTAAGTCTAAATTTTTTATATGTTGTCTAGGATGGTAAGTAGGTGTTAAACCGCAAAATGAACAATTCTACCTCCTCCGCGCCCGCCGCCATATTGAAAAATCGAAAAAAATCGGTACTTTCTAGAGATTTTCACCTATATCTCCGTTTTGGTGCGTTTTAGCGAAAAATATTTAATTGCAATGTTGTAGACAATTAAATTTCCTATAATATAATTATAAAAATTTGGTTCTAAGACTTATGGATACGAAAATATTCAAATTATTTTACAATAAAACGTATTTTTTTTGTTATTTTGCCAAATCTCTTTCTTTAGATCGCTGTAATTCAGTAAAAAAAATTTTAAAAAAAAAAATTTAAAAAATTTAAAAATTTACTTGCTGTGTTGGTGGGTTGTTATAAATTTAACACCTCCTCTCACAAGTGTATATTTGTAAGGGAGGAATATAGTACCTGCATCATGAGCATTGCACTGTTACATGTAGTAAGTACAGTAAGTATGGTTTCATAAACTGAAAATTAAACCGAAAACTGAAAGTTAATTTGTTAATTTTTAGGTCCCAAAAGCGAAAAAATAGACCCATTCTTTTAATTTGTTTTGTTTGTTTTTCAGCCCCACATCAAACGGTTGGCCTAAAGAATAGAAGCATTTTGTAGGTAATTAAATGCTCTATACATGTGATTGGGATACTTGTTATCCTAGAATATTTCATTACTGAATTACAGCGATCTAAAGAAAGAGATTTGGCAAAATAACAAAAAAAATACGTTTTATTGTAAAATAATTTGAATATTTTCGTATCCATAAGTCTTAGAACCAAATTGTTATACTTATATTATAGGAAATTTAATTGTCTACAACATTGCAATTACATATTGTTCGCTAAAACGCACCAAAACGGAGATATAGGCGAAAATCTCTAGAAAGTACCGATTTTTTCGATTTTTCAATATGGCGGCGGGCGCGGAGGGGGTAGAATTGTGCATTTTGCGGTTTTAACACCTACTTACCATCCTAGACAACATATAAAAAATTTAGACTTACCGGACCGTTTGCAAGTTAACATACCTCTATTCACTGGACTATGACCCCCTTCCTTCAGAAACTTAAAGTTAATAACAGAATGTGACATAGGCTAATAGACTAATAGGCCTTTAGTAAAATGAAACAATTAAAATCCTCCATCCACTTAATGAAGTAAAGAAAAGAAAATTGGTCTAAGATTACTGCTAGCTTGCTTGGCTGCGATAACTCGATGGAGACCTTAATTTACAGACATCCCCCGAATATTTTTAATTACAATAGATCCTCTATAATCCCAACACTGTGCCAATCCGGCACTCCAGTAATCTGGAGTCTTTTGACGGGTGTGGTCTTCTGTTATAGCGGCCAAATTCTGATTATCTCCCGCGGCCATATAGACAAATAGACATCATCATCCATTCCACTCCCGCTTTCATAGAAACATCATCATCCTTAGTTTGCCTCAATAAAGAAGCATTTTCATTCATTCATTGATTCATCGTCATCTTGCGCGATGTTTGACAAAAATCATGAACATCTCCCGCAGCCGTGTAGACATTATCGTCTCCCACCATCATGGAAATGTCATTGTCGTCATGCCCGATCGTGGCAATAGCGGTTTCTGATTGTGCGATCTTCGGAGACGTGTTTAAAGTGTATTTTAAGTCTTTTTATTGATAACATTCCCGTAATCCGGCATATTCACTAATCTGGCAGTATCACGGTTCTATATCTACTGGATTACTGAGAGTATACTGTAATTGATTGAGTAAGATATACAATCATGCTACATAATCATTTTCTGTTTTTAGATGAGGCTTATGAAAGGAATGCGAGAGAGTATAAAGGCTCAACGATTCCCGGAGTATGTACAAGGTTTCATGAGCAAAATGTACTCAGATAGCAAGTATCCAAAGTGGGTGACTGACGCTTTAGCTAAAGTGAACATTCATTTGACACCAAGTCCTAACAGAGAAAATGTGACAGAAGTTCCAAATAAAAAACCTTTAAAAGACTCTTGTAACAATTGTACATAAAGTATTTCATATAGATGTTTATGTTTAAATCAATAACCAGTCCTTCCTTTTTATTTTGCTAATTTTGTGTCATCAGAAAATAATATTTATTTGTTTGCCACTACCAGCAAGAGGTTAAAAATTTTAGAATACAGTAGAATCCCGCAAACTCGGCACTCGATAACCCGGCAGTCTGGATAACTCTGCCATCATCTGGCTCAGAAAATTAGTGATTTTTTGAGTCTGAGTTAAACATGGACTCAAGCCAGCTCAAGTCAAATCATTCGCAACTCATACCAAGGGTTTGTTGTACTATATCTGATGACTTAATACTGACGTGTAATATAAATATAAATAAAAAAGGCGGTTAAAAAGCTTAAAAATGTTATTGTTCTTATTTTTAACCCTAGTTCCTGATAACCCGGCATTTCACAAACTCGGCACCCTTCCAGTCCACATTACGCTGAGTTTGCGGGACTCTACTGTATTTGGCTATACAATATAATTATTACTTAGGCCTAAAAAGACTGACTTTTGTATCTTTAGAAAGGGAGTGTTGAACGACATCCAATGATATAAGTCAGTGTCACAACGACTTTATACTCTTAAAAAGATATTAGTTGCACCATGTCCAAAGCCGCTGTTAAGCCATTTGCATGACGTCCAATAGCTCAGCTCTGTTGCACGGCTTCCAGAGCGCCTAAACACTGTGAGTATTGTTTTTTTTTTTGTCTTTATTGCATACTAACCTAACATAACCTAATTTAACCTTGCTCTGATTGCATTTGTGTTCAATCACAGACAATAAAAAAAAATTCCCTTATTTAAAGATTAATTAAAATTTTGAGTGTGTTTTGAAAGTAAAAACAATATTTACTCAATCAATTACCTTAATAATTGTTGAGACCTCCAGAGACCTCAGTATCTGGAGTTTTTTATTGTCTTTCATAACGGCTTTGGACATGGTGCAACTGCTACTTTTTTTAGAGTATAAAGTGTGCTGTTACTCGACGACCAATCCCATGACGTCCAAAGCTTGTAGAAAGACTATGTTTCTAGCAGTTACTGTACTTTTGGACATGGTGAGATTTGGACGTCGTCAACAGGCAAATCTTTTATATTGGACATCGTGAAACAGCTCAAAAATTATATTTTGGACGTCGTGACACTGACTTATATCAATGGACGTCCTGCAATGCATCCTTCACCATTAGAAACATTGTTGGTCAGCAAGTCATTTTGTCTAAATTCTAGACTTTAGGTCAACTATGGACCAGACACATAACACAACTTGCAATTTATACATTCAAGGTCGGACATTACTGTGGAAATCAAAAGGTAAGTTTTAAATAATACATCTAGTTGTATTGTATGTAAATTTTACATCTATTTATAGACAACACTATCAATTACATTTGTACAATTTTATGCATATACACAACAAATATATATATTTCTATAACATTAAATAATCACCAAATATAATTTACAATGCTCGTTAAAAACTTAAAAAGGTAAACAACGTAAATACAACAAAAATTCAACTACACGTTCTTACTAAAAATGTAAAAACAACAATAAACATCATGTCAAACATGAATCTCTATCTACAGACTATCATCTTGTTTGGAATCATTGAGAAGGGAAGGATTCACACCTATACGAGCTATTGTACCTATTTATTATGTTAGTTTGCTATACTATTGATCGGATTATGATTTATTTATTTTATTGTCAGAAGTTAGAAACCTCTAGGTATGTGTTCACCAACCTAAAAACTATACTTTTTAAGCTTTACAGTCCTAGCTCTAGTTAGATTGTAAAAATAAATCAATTTAACAATGTTTTTGATTAGGTAGTGAAATTTAGTAGAACAGTTATACTTCATTAGTATTTATAGAAAACCCATGTTTTAGTCTTGGAAATAATCGAAGGTATTTTGTATAGATTTGTTTGTATTCTGATTACAAATTTACAATATTTAGCTAAAAACGTGTGTGTAAAGTAAAAATTTAATTAGTGTTACTACAAATGAGACAATATTACATTTTTTGTAGGTTAACCTAGTTAAACATCGCGGGTGGAATTTTGTTAAGAAAATTTCCTAACTCTCAATGTTTTTTATGAATTACATTTTCAGGCGGTGGAGTCACACCTAGAAAAGGCCATTGATAGTCGAAGGTTCAAGCCATACAGATCTGGACAGGCGCAACAATCAAAACAAAATATGATAACAACTTATTAAAAACTGAACTATTCTACTGTACATCTAAAGCTATATTCAGTCGACATGTAACACCAATACAACAAGAAGCTTTTCCGCTCGAATGTGACATGAGTATTATGTAGATACGATGACGGGCATTGCTTTGGTGTAGAATACAAGGGGATCTTAACATTAAAGGAACAAAATTGTTCACACATTTCCTCTAACACTAATCGGATTGTAACATGTAATTTTACAGTTATTTGAACCAAAACGGGTTTAAAACATGATTCAATATTTGTGAACATGAATGACTAGTTTATGACTTATTCAATGTCCTAATTTCAAAAAGATTCGTAAAGGGGTGTTTTAATAAGATGTTAAAGCAAACACAAAGGAAAATCGGTCTTTGGCACAAATAAAAAAAAAAACTAAATGTGGATTTGAACTCAACTACATACTTTCTGAATTTTGCAAGGTATGCTTTCGAGTACATGATAGAATATGCTCAATCCTAAAACACCCCTCAAGCAGTGTAACATCAATCTGATTTATGAACTTTCCTGAATTTCCAAAAATGTTTTCCATTGGACATAGTTCAGTGTCGTTTAGAATCATGAGTCAATTAGCTTAACCAAAGCTCCACAACAACTAAACTTAATTATTAAAGGAATATTTACAATGAGTCACAGCAACAATGATTAACTTAACCTAAAGTAAATCTAAATCTACTGATAACGAATCAAAGAATTTTGTCAAATGGGCTTGTTTATTACACCAGTCAAACAAATTAAATAAAAATTACACTTTGGTGTCAAGCTACAACTTTGCCACATATACCATTGCAGACTACATATATACCAAATATCAGTATACTTTATAAATTATGCACTTTATTAGCGATTGGAAACTTATTTAATCCGGACTTTATTTAAGAATGGTTGATTAACAGCTAGTGTTATTTACAGAGCAAAACAGCAAAAATGGAATTGAGTTGATATTCGGTGTGTAAATTTGGACAATACAACAGCTGAAGCATCTAGTGTTTATATTTAGCCTGAACATGAAAAGCAAATGTTTATGAAGCAGTAAGTTTTACAAAGACCAATGTCACATTAGCTACAATACAGTTCAATCTGACATGATTACACAAATATCTACTGACAACACATACCCAGCATTGAAACCATTGAACAAAAAATTTATTTTATGAGCACACTTATAAATTCATAATTCATGAAATATGTATTACAAATACATTGTACACATTTTTTGAACGATCAATTGTGATGTAAGAAATTGTTCTAGACTACAGTAAAAAAATATACAATGAAATACCACCTGGAAAAATTCAATACAGTCTTTCAATTTTAACACTTTCGTTTTACATATGATATTGATTGGCAGTGATACCCTTGTTAGCCTTCTTTGAGTTATTTCAAAAACTATTCTGTATTGCTCTATAAATAAGTTGTAGCCTATCTAAACTAACTCCATCGTGAACAGTTTAGCTACATATTTCCACTTTTATTCTAAGGCACAAAAGATTTGGTTCAAAATCTAATTTTATGCTTGTTAAGATTTTGCAAATAACCACAGAAATAAAATATGGTATATGTTTGTTACATAAATTCATAAAGTATAACCTTTTATCCTCTTACACAAATAAACACACTCAACATCTAATGATCTGTTGACAAAGATGATTATGTCTTGTGATGGACACGGACACATAATCATAGGTAAGCCAGGAAGCCATTACCTGAACAATTTACTGTTGATAGTAATACCTGGTCAAAGTTTACCTTGAGAAATAATACTTAAACACATCTAAGAACCTTCTAATGTGCGCCACTTACAACAATCAGATTTAAACAATTTGTATACATAACGTAAGTGTTTTATACATAACAAATCGTAACAGTAATAAACAAATTTTACACAGCAAACAAACCTCACTATGTAGGAATCTAAACATCAATTTAAACAGTAACATTGTGATAGCACCAAAATAAATTTCAAAATATACGCCGCTACATTTATTGTAAAATATTAATTGTACACATATGTATATATCGGTATAAATTAATCGAATAGAATAAATAAAAGGAAACATTCCGAAAAGAATACTGCCAGTAGCGTGGAATGGGAAGTCAGACCCCGGCGAACCCGTAGACTTCGAGGACTCGAATCTCAAAATCTCCACCGGAACAGAGTGGAGGATTGTTGAACGTGAGGCAACTGTCTGTCTTGCCGTAGCGGACACTCTCATCCATCCAGATAGCTTGGCCCTCTCTGAGTGAAAACATATACAGGTTATTGTCAAAATACAGAGTTCCCACTCAAATTTAAAAGTACAATTCTTCACAGTCATTTGCTTATTTTTCGTCATGTTGATAAGGGTCATGGGTTTAAGCGAGTACAGATGAACAACAGGTGCAACGGTAGTATCGGGACATGTCTTAACAAATCTTGAAGCTAATGGAGCAATATACAATGGAGGGGTAAGTTATACAATATATCAGGGTGTTGCAGACTCGCTGTTACTATAATGTAGGGATGGACGGGTCCCGAAATTTCGGGAATTTTTCGGGAAAAAAATATTCCCGATTATCGGGACGGGAATAAATTTGACTCGGGAATTTTTCGGGACGGGATTTGGTCCGATCGTCGGTGATTTTTCCGCTTCGCGAGTGCCGATAACGCCGTTATTGAGAGCGATAGGTCCGCGAACGCAGGAGACGAAGTCATACCGACGATCGCGCCGTGACCACGGAGTCCTACCGACGATCGCACCGTGACCGCGAGTCATACCGACGATCGCGCCGTAACCGAAAGTCATGACGACGACCGCGCCGTGACCGCGGCGTCATGCTGACGATCGAGCCGTGATCGCGAGTCATACCGACGATCGCACCGTGACCGCGAGTCATAACGACGATAACCCCGTGACCGCGGAGTCATACCGACGATCGCGCCGTGACCGCGAGTCATACCGACGATCGCGCCGTGACCGCGAGTCATGACGACGATCGCGCCGTGACCGCGAGTCATGACGACGATCGCGCCGTGACCGCGAGTCATACCGACGATCGTGCCGTGACCGCGAGTCATGACGACGATCGAGCCGTGTTCGCGAGTCATACCGACGATCGCGCCGTGACCGCGAGTCATACCGACGATCGTGCCGTGACCGCGAGTCATAACGACGATCGTGCCGTGACCGCGAGTCATGACGACGATCGCGCCGTGACCGCGGAGTCATGCTGACGATCGAGCCGTGTTCGCGAGTTATACCGACGATAGCGCCGTGACCGCGAGTCATACCGACGATCGCGCCGTGACCGCGAGTCATGACGACGATCGCGCCGTGACCGCGAGTCATGCCGATGATCGCGCCATGACCACGAGTCATGACGACGATCGCGCCGTGATCGCGAGTTATACCGACGATCATGCCGTGACCGCGAGTCATACCGACGATAACCCCGTGACCGCGGAGTCATACCGACGATCGCGCCGTGACCGCGAGTCATACCGACGATCGCGCCGTGATCGCGAGTCATGACGACGATCACCCTGTGACCGTGAGTCATACAGACGATCACCCCGTGACCCGCGAGTCACAAATAACTATAGGTACCTGTAAATTGTTACCCATTTTTCGGTTTTTATAGATCAGTGCCACAAATGGTAAAAATTGATTTCGTATGTCTTTTTTTGGTAACTGCAATACAGTACTTTCTTTTTATGGACAGAAAAAAATCCCGTCCCGTCCCGTCCCGAAAATTGGGAAGGAAATAAAAATCCCGTCCCGTCCCGTCCCGAACTAAAAATTCAATCCCGTCCATCCCTACTATAATGACACTTGCTTGGCTCCGTTGAGACGCCACATTGGCAGATCTGACAAGAATAAACTGTCCTATGGTTAATTTTACAGTTTTTGGTTGTAGCATTGCGATTTCAAATACCCGAAATGCCTCAAAATAGAACCAGTTATTAAAAAAACTGGTGAAAAAAATTATGCCCAGTAGAGAAGGTAGTAAGGGAGGAGGACTCTTTCTCAAAAGTAATGAAAATTTGAGTTAGATAAGAATTTATTTTAAAATAGCTTCAATTTTATGTTCATACCAGTTTTAATGAACATACATTTTTAAGAACAAATATTTGTCAACACCATTATCCAACTGCAATTAAAACTTAAAATTTCAACTTACCTCTTTGTTATGCTAGCATATTTTCCTTATCTATTTGTTCCCTTGACTCTAAAATGTATTTGGTTAAAGTACAAAATCGTGACAATAGCAAATTAGTCATGCACATTTCCCAAAACTATCAATGTACCATGCAATGTTCAATATTCTTGTATTCCCTGTATCTCAGCATTGGTTAATAAATATTAGATGGCTGCTAAATTGTCTGTTGTCAAATACACATAGTTCGTCCACCATTGCTGAAGAAAAAGAAATGTAAAAAATACATCGGAAAATAAAGAATATAGGGTAAAAGAAAAGGAGGTCAGGGCTATCACCAACAACCATGCTTTAACAACACCAATGAATGAGGATGGCGTACCGTCTTAGACGCTTCCAAAACCGTAAACCTCCAGCACTTTGATCTCAAAATCTCGGCCGGGGCATAGCGGGGGGTTGTTGAACGTTTCACAACGATCTGTTTTTCCGAATCTCAGATTTTCATCCATCCAAATCGCCTGCCCATCACTAAAAAAATAAATTAACATGCTCACCATGACAGGTTGGATGGAAATGCAGGAGATCTTGCATGAACACGTTCTGACTTGCACATGGGAATGTTAACAATACATGTGATTGATGTATCAACATCGTGCAAATCTATACTAATGGTTCTTTCATTTCATTTAATTTCATTTCAATATCTTTATTCAATAATTGTACATTGAATAGTTTCAAAACAACTTTTCACGTTACAACTTGCTTGTAACTGTAAAAATTACTGTGAAACCACAATAACACAAAAGGTAAGGTAAATGGTTAATCTTCAAGATACAAAACAACAACAAGAGACTAAGCAGTCACTGTTTTCATGCCATTTGCACATTTTTGTCAATTTGAGGCTTTGGGCACATTCAAAAAAGTTATTTAACCTGCCATCTCCAATTGGACAATCAATATGTCTATGTCATGAATGAATAGTTTAGGAATTGTTTAACAAATGTTGTATAGACTAGGCCTGCATCAATTTGGTTTCTGTTTTCAAGTTGCTTTTAATGGCTTATGGCCCATGGGAATGAGGCTACTGAGATAGTTAGTAGTAATCACTCTGAACTGACTAAAGCCAATGGATCAACCAATATTTTCACATTTTCTGAATGCTTTAATAAGATAAGTGATGACAACCATACAGTTATATGACCACTGTTAAAAGCAAAGCAAATATGTTAGTTATGTGATTTTCAATAGGCTTGTCACTCAAAATGTTCTAAATTCTACAGAGCCATGATCTGTATACGCAGACATTAAAATTGAAACAGCATAACATTTACCAAAACTTAAATCCGTTTGAGAGTAGGTCTATTAGTTGAAACCTTTTTGGAACCAATAAATCATCAGTGACATGAAATTTTGAACTTAGATCAAACCGATCTCAGGATAAGTATAGTCCTGTGACAATTAGTTTACTAATCAGTAGGCCTATGATTGCCCTGCCCCATGAACTGATTGTTATCAGAATAATCTTGGTTATTAGCCTTTCTCTCTCCACAGATCAAAAACTAGTTTTAGATTACTATGTTTTATTGGTTATAGCTTCCATCCTTAGGTCAATACACAAAAATTTGTTCTGCATTCATCATGTAGACTTGTCAAGACATCAAAAAAAGTTTAACAACACACTGCTACCAACATACATATGCTTAACGAACGAGTCTACCTGAAGAATAAAGAACAAATGTTTGTATTCCGACCTGCTGATGACTATGACCAATGACACGTACATATCAACGACTAATTTTTTAACAGTGGAGACAAAACAATAGATAACCAAGACAGTTCTTTTTCTTTTTTCACTTTCATGGAAAAGTTGTAGGATAATTTAGAAATAATCATGAAATTAACAATAATCTGTAAAAATACATGATCGGTGGTAAATGTTATGAGTTATTACTAAACCAACTAATCATCCAAGCAAAGATCCAGCAGTAATAACACACTCACCCTCCACCGATTGTTATCATCTTTGAGTCTGCCGCCATGAAGAGTTCCGCCGAGTGGTTCACAGAGTCTCCGTCCATGCCCACCCACGGGTACTTGGCCCGCTCCGGGTACAAGCTGAACAGGAACGTCTCTCCCGTGCCAAAGTACGCTGTCCTGTTGCCTCGATCGTCCTTCAGGTTGCGCTCTTGCCACCTTGACGAACAGTACGCGCCAAAGACCTGCGGAGAAGTGTCATTAGCAACTACATTGAGTGGATCCTTCTTCATATCCCACTACCTCATTCTAGGATGCTAGACTCTATACTAGGCCTACTTCAGGCTAGGCCGAGAGAGTTATCAAATAGATCAAAGCCATAAGTATCGGTGGTAGGCCTACTTGTAACAAGGATAAAAAACCCTGTGCTTTAGAACTAGACCATCTCGCTCTCCCAATTCTTCAGTCACTTGGTTAACATATTTAATGGCTTATTCAAATTGGAGAATATTTTAATAGAAACAATAATTTTGGAATTTGTTCATCACAAAGAAGTATACTGTAAAGGAAGGGCTATTTTTCTTTTTTTGCTCTTTTCCTCTATACATAGTATGGAGAAAGTATTGTATTTGTCAAAATTTTTGATTTTGAGTTTTGGATCCCCCTGAACCCAAAAAAGTGGTTTTCAAAGTGATGTCTGTGTATCCGTGAGCTACAGACTATTCGATTTTGAGAAAAAATGTGGTTTGTAGGTACTAATCCATGGTATCTCCAGGTGTTTTTTTTTTCAATCTTCAGGAAATTATTTAAAAAATGACAAAACATTGGATAAAAAAATGTCAATAAACATTTTAATTAAATTTAGTATGTTATGACTTATGACCCTCTTGGTTAAACGTTTAGAGTTCTTAAACAATTGGCACAACCCTCAATACTGTAAAAATTACAGTTCAAAAATTATTTCAACTTTTGCAATTAACCTCATAAAATATTATTGTTTTTGTTACTCCTATCGGATGCCCTTGATAAAAGGGTGGTTGAAAGCAGGAAGAGAAATGGCTAGAGGAGAGTGAGTCAGATTACAGATACCGTTTATTAAAAAAAAAATACTCTAAATTAGCTGCATTAGGAAATATTTTTTTTTTTTTTTTTAACATTATTTAATTTACAATCTGTTCAAGTTGAACAATAAGCAAATGATATAAATAGTAATACAAAAATAACTTGAAGAACATGAGCTAGTGATTGACCACCGTCAACACTAGCAAACAAAGAGAATTTTGATAACACTTAGCCGAATCTGAATGGTAGGTCCAATATCGTATGTCGCTTCAGTCTGTAAATGGTGTTGTGATTGTCCAATAAATTAAGTGCAAGATGATTTGAATGATTTTCCAATTTTATAATGTATTTTTCACTATATTTTGTAATTTCTTCTTTTACTGTTCGAATTTGAAGATCATTGTGAAGTGTTCTGTTGGTAACAAACCAAGGAGCGTTGACAATTTTACGTAATAATTTTGATTGGTAACGTTGAATAATTTCAATGTTTGAGGTACTTGCTGATCCCCAAAGCTGAATACCATAAGTCCAAATTGGTTTTAAAACTGTTTTGTACAGTAACAATTTATTTTGTGTACTGAGTTTTGATTTAGATCCAAGAAGCCAATTAAGTTTAGTTGTTTTTAAATTTAGTTGTTGCCTTTTAGTCCAGATATGTGCCTTCCAATTAAGCTTTGCATCTAAGTGCATGCCCAAGTATTTTATTTCCGTTACTTGAGGGAGGTGAATATTGTTCATGGATACTAGAGGACATGTAGCCTGATTTAAGGTAAAAGTAATGTGTGCTGATTTATTTTCATTAATTTTGAACCTCCATGTTTTAAACCAATGAGAAATTTCATCCAAGTTTAGCTGTAAATTTGCTGTAGCTTGAGCTGGATTGTCGTGGACAGATAAAATTGCCGTGTCATCCGCAAATGTAGCAACCATAGTGTTTACACTTTCTGGTAGGTCCGATGTATAGAGAATATACAAGTATGGTCCAAGCACGCTTCCTTGGGGGATTCCTGATTCTATAGGGTAAAGGTCAGTTAAGTAATTTTGATGTTTAATTTGGAAAGTTCTGTTGGTAAGATATGATTTTAAAATAGGAAAAACTGAATGGGGTAGTAACTTCTTAATTTTGAATAGTAAGCCAGAGTGCCATACTTTGTCAAATGCCTGACTGACATCAAGGAAAGCAGCAGAACAAAATTGTTTGTTTTCCAAACAGTTTCGAATTGTATGAACAACCCTATGGACCTGCTCCACGGTGCCATGTCTCCGTCTAAACCCGAATTGGTGTCCTGGAATGACGTCGTCTTCTTCAAAAAGAGCTTGTAGTCTTTTGAGGAACAATTTCTCAAACAACTTGGACACTATAGGCAAGAGACTTATAGGTCTGTAGGAAGTGATTTCATGAGGAGGTTTTCCTGGTTTTGGTATAACAATTAATTGGGCTTTCTTAAATTGAGTTGGTATGTAGTCTAGTCTCAATATAGAATTAAAGAGAAATGCAATAAAAATCATTCCTTTCCTTGGCAGTTCTTTTAACATTTTCCCAGTGATAGAATCGTAACCAGGAGATTTTTTCGGATTTAGCGATTTGTCAATGGTTGCCTTAATTTCTGTAGGTCTGAATTTTTCCAGAGGAAAGTCAAGTTGAAGTGGAGAGTCCAAGAATTCTATTATTTCTTCTTCATTATTGACCACACCTACATTTGGCTTGAATACATTGGAAAAGTAATCCCCGAAAGCTTCAGATTTTTCTATGTCACTCTTAGCCCAGCTTCCATCCGGTTTACGAATTGGCGGGATTGAAATTTGGGGTTGCTTCAGCCTTTTTGTTACTTTCCATAACGAGTAATCCGTAGCTTCCGTAGCCGACAAAGATTGAGTATATTCTTCAAACCATCGGTTTTTTGTGTCATACAATAATCTTTTCAAATTCCGTGCTGCTCGGTTAAAGTTGGCCTTATCATTTGGGTTTCTTGAGTTTTGCCAAATTCTTCTGAGTCGTCTCTTTTCTGCTATCTTTTTCTTGATATGAATTGGGTAGCCTAGGCCTATTTTCTCTGATTTTTCATGATTAGGTAGAGGTGTGGATTCTTTGGCAGAATTTTGAATACAGTCAACAAAGTGATCAACAGCAGCTTCTACATTTTCAGGACTACGTAGCTGTATGTGTAAATTTAAGTTTTGATTTATAAAATTTCGAAATTGATTCCAGTCCGTGTATTTATTGAAAAATACGTCCCCTGGTTCTTTGTGAAATATTTCGGTACTTAAATTTAACATAACTGGTGAATGGTCAGAAGATAGGTCAAGACAAGATTTTACTTCAGTGTAATTTTGGTTAATACCTTTTGAAATAAAAAAGTCTAGACGGTTATAATTTACTGATATACTGCTAGTCTAAAGCCAAGCCAACAATTAGATCCCAGTTTATAACTTCAAACAAAATATAACTTACACACAAGATTTACAGACATTTTCACAAAGAAACTGTTTTTGTTTGTTTTACCAGCGTTCGTTTTCTTCCAAGGCCACATATTATATACTAGACCATATTTTACAATTCATTTAAATTCCAAACATTTCAATGAAACCTGAGGCTGAAAATGAGAGGTTGTATAGCTCACCTCGTTGTTGACAGTTTTGATCATGAGCAGTGTGGGTTCGTGGTGTTCAACCCGTACAAAGAACGTCGTGAGTGAACACCCGTGTTCCTCCGTGGTGTACAATAACACAGGCTGGTACATGGTGATGCGTACAGGCAGCCAGGACCATAGAGTAAACAGCTACAACATGCAAACGTCGAGGTAATTAATACACATGTACAAGAAATTTACAAATTTTTTTTTTTGTAAATTTACAAAATTTACAATGGCGCATTTCAATATTCATTACTTTAACTGAAAGTTATGGAAGAAGAATACATGAAGGAACTTTCACTTCAACCCAAACCTTTCTTGATTGAAAGTGTACATAGTATACAATTTTGTTTATTACAACGGAGAGGACATTTTCCCATTCAAGAATGCCTGTTATCCTCACAAAATTCTTAAAACCAAGGTTTGGATGGGTGATTTTCATTGGGAATATATTCAGCATTTAATTGTGCTTATATTTATAGAAACTTAAATGCATTATATTTTGAACATATTTAATGTCTGGCTATAATTTTAATCTCTACTTCCAAGATGGATCGGTTAAGTTTTTGTTTTGTTTTAATTTGTAGAGAGTACTTACACTCTTATTTTATGTTTCGTATAGAAACAGTGATCTAGGGTTTATGAAAAACTAATAAGAATTGTATTAACGTATATTAAGGTGAGTAAATTTCATGCCTCTCATGCCTCCCAGATTATTTTAGATTATTCTCGCTTGTAAATAAGTTTTCCCTCACAAGACAGTACATTTTAACACCACTTGTTATATATTTTATCCAACCTAACATTTTCCGATTAAAGGTTTCAAACTAGATCTGTCCTTGTTTCTGTTATGAGTAGAAACACCCTGTATATTGCTATCTGTCATATCATGTTAATATTAATGTTCCAACATAGTTTGAATGATCAATTCCATTGTTTCAATATTGCAATACTTAAATCATTAAACAATTTGAAATCACTTGCCTAACGGGTATACTGTTAAATCCAGTTTTTGAACATTTACTTGACATAAATAATGTTTTACGTAAGCCCAATTACACTTTAGACTTTAGAAATAAGCCTACTATGAAATTCATTATGTATCACTTCAAACTTTTAACATTTATTTGTTACATTTTACAATGAAACTTGCAAACAGTTTATGCATGGTATATACTACAAAAATTTATCCAAATCATATAATTTGTCTTTACCTACATTTACTGACAAATTCAGCATTATAACAGCTTAACATGTGTGCATCTAAAAAATGTTTGCATTTATTAGGGAATAAAAACTCAGGAATTGGCATGGAGGTTCTAATCAACCTCTAGGTGTGAAATAAGAAGCATTTTCAAGAAATTCCACCAGGGTTCTGAACCCAGTGGCTTTTAAAGTTCCCATGTTATCCTCATGGAGAAAAGATTTGTTTGCAGAACACATAGATACTTTTGAATCTGCATTATTTTTGTGGCTTGAAAAAGTGTTTAACTGCATAAGTGATTTTTAATAGTTAAATGAAAATAATAATTAAGAAGTGTAGGCCCTGCTCAGATTGTTAAATTAACAGGTTTGCTAGTAATTGATAATGTCAGGAATCTGATGATATGAAAATATTCAACGAGTAAATTGTGTGATTTTGTAAGGATTTAGAAACTTGATTCATGGTTGAAAGTCAAAAGTCATTAAGCTCACTACCATTCCTGTTGCGACTTTCGAATGTCGTGTAATATTTCCTATGAGATTTCTGCTTCATTAAACTTCTGTCACTACACCACAACAAAATCGTTATTTATTTCATAACAAATTTAATATAAATAGTTATGTCCTTTAAAAAACCCATGATACATAATACACTTGTGAACATAACAATTACAACATATCATTACCATAATGAATCAACATGCATCATACATTGTATAATTTTCACAGCAATACTTGAATAGTGACACATAAATATTGAGACCAATTTTCACAGTAAAAATGCATTTTATTAAACCAGTAAGTATAATATAGAAATTAAAATAAACATAAAACAACACAGGTATCTAACATTGACGAGTCTTCAACCCAAACTGGTGAAGCTAGAATATTAAATCTCCTATTGATTAGGGTTTAATGCAGCTGGGGATCTAGACTACTTCTCAAACTGTAAAATAACAACAAAATAAGCAAATAATATTGAAATACAGCTGGTCAACATAAAACAAGCGTGAATGCTATGCCAGCAAAAGTTGCCGTTTGTAGCGAAAAGCATGGTGGTATGAAGCAGCTAGCATACCAGTAACTGGTATACTATACAGCAATGGGATCCTCTGAAAATGGTTTAGTAAAATCCATTACGTCACATTTTTCAACTGGGAGGTTAAACTAATATAAAAAGATTTAGTAATTGATTATGAACACTATAATGGACATTTTTAGGGAGGCTTTGTGGCTCTTCAAACTGGTAAGGTTCATGAAAGATTTTAGAGTGTGGTTATGTTTAATAGCTTTCTACATATTTTTTTTTAAATTTGTTGTCAAAAACATTTTTAATTTCCCTACAATATTAACACAAAAATATATTTGAAAATTGTATTTACTGTAGTAGTAAAATATGTATATGCATATTGAAGCATACTTAGTGCCACTTGAGATTAGAATTATATAAATTTAAAATAAACTGAATACAAATATTTTATAAAGGAAGAAATATGGTAATCAACAAAAACCATGGTTCAAAGAGATTTTATATCACGATTATAGTGAATACATTTCGTATGTTAACTGTTAAAATAATTTGAACAATTACCAGAGTGAAGATCTGCCACAAAATTATGTAATCAGCAAAAGTCATTAATGATGGATCAAGAACGAGAAAAGATACAATGAAAAACATTATTTAAAATCTTCAGCATATTAGTTTAGTAAATTTGTTATAGACTTGTGGTTGATTTAAAAATTTAAAACAAAACTGGTAATAAACTGAAATTTTTTTTATAAATTGCCAAACATGGAAAAAGCTCTTAGAGGATTTTAGGGTAACAACTAACAAGCATAAATCCTGTCAATCTTAAAACGCAAAACATTTCAAAGCAAATTCATTCAACATAACCATAAAACTAAAGATGGTGCCACTTATCGGGCATGCTACTGGTGCTGCAATACTGCTGAAATAAAAAAAAAACTGGGACGGAACGGAAACTGGGCTGAAACCACTTACGTCATCTTGGTCAACAATATGAGATTTGACGTTATAGATTGGATAACTTCCCATGGACTGTACTCTAGGTCCAGGGGAGTGTTCTCCCTAGGCCGCGTGAACATGGACAAAAGCTCAAACAATCACAAACCAGACAAGATTAGAAATTGTTCATCATATTAAAACTGAATTCTTCTTACAAACGCTTACAGTAGGGTCTACATTGTTAAGAGTTTCTGACATAGCTCACTATATAACAAACTGAAATAAGCATGGAGTATTACAAAAATCTCTACTACTGACCATAATTTTAACTAATGCAAAATAACCCTGAACAATCTTTCACGGCACAGAAAACCCTAAATGGAAATTCCGCTTTATCTTTTAAAGCTGTACCCAAACGCAACATATGAACATAAATATTTGAAATAGGATCACAACTTTAAAAGACAGACAATACATGGAACCTCCAACAATGAAGTGAATTACACACCAATCGATTGTTCAATTTGTCTTTTCTGTTTCGATCACGAAGCGAGGAGAAAAACAGTGGTTTACTACCTCTCCTCCCACCTTTGAGTAAATCAATCAGTTTTGTTTTCTGTAAAACAAAGTTGAATTGTAATCGTGAAGAACGCAATTTGGTTTATCAATCTCACAACCATATCACCACAAATTGATTGGAAAAACAAAATTCACAAGTATAATCCCTTTTAAGTCTTAAACATCCAAAAGTAACCAACTACTAATTATTGGAACAAGCTATTATTAAATTTTAATTTTATTCAAAGAAAACATAAACAAATTAAACCAGTATATTAAACTATAAAATAATACCATCTTTATAGACAAAGGTGTAACAACAAGGGGATTATATGTAATTTGTATACAGTACAGAGTGCATGAAAGACACGAGACACCTATATGACAAGTTATAATATAAGTGAAATTGAGGAAAACATAACAAACAGGACTTGCATGGAAACCAAGTATATTTTAAGTGCTCTAACGGTTTCATTCCGTACAATATTAAGGCATTACACTGCAAAACATAATTTAAGTTTGGATCAACCTTACAACAATTCAACCAAATATTTACCCTGATTGTTTATTTAACAGAAATTAAAAACTACTTTAACATAGAAACACATTTAAAATAATTACTAATCCCTGGTATTTTCTTTAGTGTTAACGCTAGTGGCTTTATGTATAAAAGGAACCCAAACACTTTGAAGGAATAGAGGTGTCAGCCCTCAAAATGTTTATTGATATACTGATAATCGAACCTGTCCCTCCTTTACTGACGTCTGACACACTAACCATTAAACTAGCAACAAACCCCTAGAGAAATATACTTCTTAGAGAATTAGAGTTGTTTTATTGATTACTAATCAGGAAATTTTAAAAAGAAATTGCTATCAAGTAAAAAATCCAAGAGAGATATTTTCAACTTCCTAAAAAGAAAAATGGTGGGCTTAAGTGCCATTGTTGTTGGACCCTTGAATTCGACCAGTCACACACTTTAGTTAACCGATCATCCAACGCAGACACACCCAGACATCCGACCACCCACATCGCCAACCTATCATTCACAGCCCAGTAACATTTCAGAGTCTTGTCCTCGGCCATGCTGTTGTTAGTCCAAGACAAGCCACAGACAACGCAACGCCACTGTGCTGACATAACCTACCAGTGGACTCAACGCTCCCGGTAGATTCTGCAGTCTCTCCCTCACGCTGCGTGGGCTGTTCTATAATAAACCCAACACCAAGCATCACCATCACAGATACGGTAACGCTTACCACACTGTCAATGTCATGTCATGTCATCCTACTAAACACCACCGTCCAGCGTAGCTACTGGTCACTGCGTTAGGCTTGAAAATATTTACAACCAGGAGAAGAGGGGGGAGATAACATAATAGAAATAAGTAACGTAGAGTAACAAAACAACCCAACATGGACAAAAATTGATTCAGGAAATGTAATGTACCAGCTGGCGTTTTAATGTCACATGTTTTTAATATTAAGTAATTTATTGTTGATATGTTTTGAGTTTAGTTGTTTGTTTACAAACTTTGAATAAACATAAACTGAATCAAATTTGTCATACAGTTTATCTCATTAGTTCCTAAACTAAAAAAAAATACAAAAACGTGTTAACTTTAGAATCTATAATAAATATAATTAATTTGTATGTTTTAAATTAAGAGGTTGGCTGCCTCTTTTAACCTTAAATTTGTTCAACCACATGGGCCTCTGCCTGGAATGTATAGAGCAAATTAAGAGGTGATCCGATATGAAATTTACTGATAAAATTTATTAGCAGGACGTAAACCCACTACAGCATCACTGCTAAAGCACTACTAACTACCCTATTAACTTACAATATAAATGGCATTAGGCGTTTCTTTTTTTCACATGAACATTTTATGATATTTTAAATTTTTGGTCTTAAATCATCTCAATTGTTAAAATATATTGGTTGGCTATAAGGAAATTGTATACTACATATTTCAGCATCAACTGGTTATACAAGTCCAGAAGAAACTTGAAATTTACTTTTCATATACCGTAGGTATACAGTTTAGTGAAGTTTAAAAACAAAATTTACATTTCTAGTGTGCAAATGAGTCAAGATTTTGGCCTCAAAATAATTTACATTTGTTTTTTAACGTTCCAAATAAAATTTTTTTGAATTCTTAAAACAAACTAAAGATCTTGTTCGTAAAAACAAGCAAGTTTCATCATTGTATTTTCTTTAAAGGAAAAAGTCTACGACAAACATTATAAAGTCATTGAGGTGACAAACGGAATATTGGAATTACAGATTTTTAACGCCTAAACACAAATTTAAGAAACAAAAGCATGAACTCAAAACCAAACCACAAAGCAAGGCAATTGAGTGAGTCTTATTACGGGAAGCACTCAGGTTAAAATTACAAAATCGACCAGTAGTTTGGCTTTGGGGAAGGAAACTGAGTCTCGTTTCTGTTTTGCCCCGTTCAAACATGACATTGGCAGTGTGCTAAGACTCAGGCTGAATGGCGGAGTTGCTAAAACCACCAATAAGCAAATGTGCCCACAACCATTCTGTAATGAAATCAAGCTTTAGGTCTGAGGAGTACGGTCATCTGGAACTGCTGAAAATATTAGGTTAAACATCTGTAATGACAGTCAATGAAAGAAAACTTATAATACTAAACTATGAACCATAAACTGATTCAGAGTGAAAAAATGATGAGAATAGTTTTTCACCATACAAGAGGTAAATACAGTACAAGTATGTAAGTAAGGATTAATGAAGGATAATATTATATAATTTTCTTTTGAAGAAAAATCTATGTTATTAGAAAAATATTGCTTTTACTTAAAACTGTAAGAGGATTTGAAGAAGTCTAAGCAAATTCAAAACTAGGCATCTTAAAAGTTTGACTAGACGTGCTAGAATTATACTTGTTAGATAAAAAATATGCTGGTTTTTAATAGATTTTAAGTTTTAAAAATATATCATACAGGTTATAATAAAACCAGCATACTTCTTAACTTGCAAATTTTTCATTAAACCGATACAATAATTACACACAAAATAAAGGTGGTCAAGTACCTAATATTTACAAGACACAGACTTTATTTTATGCAGTTCCTTAACCTTATGAAATATGTACAAAATGAACAAAATTTTTATTGTGCTCCTTTAAAAATTAATGGTTCCGATGTACAACATTCTAACTGTCAACAATGAAATTATTCAGAAGCTAACCGAGGGACCTTATTTCTTGAGAGGCAACGTTCCTGCTAGTTTGACCATCCAGTGCTGCCAACGTAACTCTTTAGCAAAACAAATTTCCCCCATTCAGACTGCCAGTGAGAACGTTATTTCAAAAAACTTTAAAAACCTTGATTTTAAAATAAAGTTATAACGCTATACAGTGGAGCCATCTGATGATGAATTGTTGAGCAACATAGTAGCATTTCACAAGTGCTCACCTCTCGTATGGTGAGTGTATGACTCATCATCTGGATGTTGACCTGCGACTGACTCGTAGGGAGGTTCTCTGTGGACCTGGATCTCGTCAGTTGTCTAGAGCCCATCATGACTGCTTTGCTCTTCAACGTCATCTCTGTTTTGACAAACACTCGCTGGATGTAGGCCGTGGACAAGGCTCGGATGCCGAACGCAGCCCTCAATACTTTCCTGGGGCTCACCTGAACACCCGTTGTAGCTACATGTTAATGCAATGACCATAGCTACTTGAAATTACACTTTATTGAAGGCCCGCAGAGAGATCTGCCGTTAGATTCTTTGAACATTGAATTGCTGCGCTAAAATAAAAGAATTTTTTAGCATGAACTTTCAAAAATCAGGAGATTGAGTAGCTTTGACTTCATCATTGGTGTTATGCAATTTTTACTTTTTGAGTGTTTCTGCCAGTGGTATTGTAATTTTTTTAACAATCCATAATGTAGCCCTTGCACTCCTTTGTTAAAAAAGATAGGTACTGCTGTTGTCCAGTCCGATTAGTGACTGGTATGATAGCGCTATCTTTGTTTGCTACAAGTTACGTCCCTGTTTTGTGTTGTTTTATGTATTTATTTATTATAACCACCTCTGGGATCCAAGAAGATAAGAACACTTAGGTTATCAGTAAATATCCATGTTTTACAATTAATTTTATATTAGTAACTTTAGTTTTTAACTAAAACTAAATTGACCTATAAATTTAGTAGTTTGAATGTAACTCTAGTATAAACTTATCTCGCTTCAGTGGTCAACTGTAATATCTTATCCAGCAGGAAAACACACATAAAGATATGGTGTAATCACTGCCACTCTATACGCTGACATTGTCTACTTCAGTTGGTACCATTATCTAACTACCTGATAGGACGTTGAATGGATTTAAATATCCTACTTCCTACTGCCATATTCTCATCTTGTCATACATATTAACATTAAACAGCTAGAATCAGCAAACCATTCTAAGTATGAACCGGAAGAAGTTAACGAATGGATATCAAAACCATTTTTATGAAGGCAGTACTACTACATACAAATAAGGTAGACCAGAAATAAAACCTGTGCTGACCAAATAGTAGTAGCCGAATTTGTGAGGAATCAATTATTTACAAAACTACGGACAAAGAGATTTCTGTATGTGTGTCAAACACATTTTGCTATGTGAACCTTTTGAAGTTCAAGCTAAACTAATCCCCACCGAGTAAACCTGCAGGTTACCGAATTACCATTTGCCTGATTTAATTTTTAGTTAAATATATTTTCTTATCTACGTCAGTGGTATTTTTAATTAAGTTAACCTAAACACTTTTAAGAGAAAGCTGTCAAAACCTATTAGTTTTGTGGATGTGACATGAATCGAATCAATCCCTACTGCATCGAAGTCCAAAACGCTAAACACTAGGCTAGCAACACACCCAACAATACCCAACTGGTTTAATTAGTAGATAGGATGGCTGCTACAGGGAGAGTATTTTTTTTATATTAATAGCTTAGTTTAAAATAAATATTTATTTCCTAGTTTGATCAAAATATATTCAAAAACAAGCAAAATACAACAGTTTAATTATTCTGAAGTAAAATAACATGGAAATTTTAAATTTACAACTTTTTGAATTTTTTCCGTAACCAATTAAATTAACATACAAAAACTCATCAATATAATAAATTATTTGTTTTTTTTAAGCTCTAGAAAATGAGCTTTAAAAATAAATAGGTAGGCAAATTTTATGTTTTGAGGGTCAAACATAAGAAAAATATTTATCCAATAAAACCCCGTTTTCATGGTCTGATCATGCTGGATTGGGAACTCGTTCAAATAGACGTAGGTTTACACATTTGTACTAATTTTAATTAAAATCAGACGAATTTTGCTTGATTTATCGAGCTAACTGATAAATATACAAATATATTATATAGCCTATATGAATTTGAACGGAAGGTGTTTTTGGCCTCTGGGGACATCAAAACAAAAAAGTAAATCGGTCCCGCCCGGGTCCAGGTCCTACCATGAGACCAGCGGTAATAGCTTATTCTCTATATGGGAAATTCACTAAAAAGAAGTTGAATGAATGAATTGTTTACGAAATTATTATGTACATTGTCCATTAAATAAATGCACAACATACCAGAAAACCTTTTAGGTAATGTTTCTTAAACCAACATTTTCAAGGTACAATTCTTCAGGTCCTCTCAACAAATAATGACAAAATAACAAAATCATTATGTAACTAAACATTCAATTTACAAAAATTAATTAATAACATGTAAGTTGAATCAGATCAGTCACAACATCGCAATGCAGCCATGCAACGAATTCTAGTCCAAAGCATACATTCAATGGTAGGGGATCAAAAACATTCTTGCATCTGAGATGCCCTACTATAGTTCGGCTGCTTAGAAAACGACCCGCGCGCTAATGCTAAACCAGTGCTGGAGGAGGTCGCTTTCTAAGCGGCCGAACTATAACAAGTAACAACTACCGTTTCACTTCACTAAGACTTGTATGAGCAGATGTTGTCAAGGACAAGAAATTCTCATAGTTTCTTTTGTGTTGGCCGGACTTTGCAAGGCAAAAGCATTCAATACTATTTAAGCTAACTGTTTACTAATGACCTAAGTAATAATTGCTTCATAATTTGTTCAGCTGTCATAAACACTTCAAATTACTTGACAATGGTGAAGGGTAAAAAAAAATTATTATTTTTAGTAGGTACTAAAACTTGATCCATCACATAATATGTACTGCACAGGGTTCGAGAGTTACAATCATATGATATGATATTGACAACAAATTACAGTTTCGTTTAACATACCACAAGCAATTGATATTTTCAGTATTATTTATTCAATTAAAAGAATAAGAGTTACTCTTGAGATTGTGAATGAATGATATGTTATTGCTTTCCCTGGATTATTGGCTGATATGCAGAACACAAATGAGTCAGTATTCCAAAAGCTTATCAACTTCAATTTTAACTTTGTGAAAGGAGATCAATAAACTAACACAAACATTAAAACCGCCATTCATCGTAATCTAGGGGACGAGGCTGTTTTGGTTCAAAAGTAGTTTTTGGCCTTTTAAAATTAATGTGATCTTAAAATCTACAACTGAATACACTGCTCATTTTCTAATTAGTTTCAGTATTTTATTATGGTTTCCGTTAACCCGAGTATGGTTTTACCAGGGTGCGGTTACCGGTATATGGGGATCTAATGTACAAAGTATATAATTTTAACCACTTACAATTTTTATCACTCTACCTGAAACATTGCCCCCTTTAGTATTTACAACATGAATTTAATAAAGTGGAAATGTTTATATGAAAGCTATACAATGCACGTATATAAAAGGTTGTTCATGTATTACTAAGGGAAAAGTATGTAAGCCAAGTCTTATAAAAAATACACAATACAATAAACAGTACTTAAAAATTTTGAAAAAAAAGTGTGTCCACAAAAATACTAATACGTAAATTGCCATAACATTTGCATTTCCATTACACCTAACAAATAACTGGCTATGACGAGACTAAAGGTTCTTTGCCATATCCATGCTATACATTGAGGGGGTGGGGTTTACCGGTATCTGGCGACAGAACTTGTTGAGGGCCGCGTCAATGCCGTGATCGGAAATCTCCTTCATCCAGTCAGAGTTGGGCGAAGCTGAGTGTTTGTAGAACAGCTGCATGATCGCCATGGCAACTCTGTACAGCACCTTGATGCCTTCATGTAAGTAACAGTCCATCACTCGTACCTGTAAAACAACAAACATTGCTGTCAATGTGTGCGACAAGTAGGGTAAGGTGTCTGCGTGGCTTAAACAATGGTATCTGAGGGTGAGTTAAGTGGTTAAATATTAAGTTTTAATTTTAATTAATTGACCACCATTGTTCATTTTATTTCACAGAAGCAGAACATATGTGAACTATTGTGTATTCATACATAAGAGTGGTACTTACCAAATGGTTGAAGGGCAGACCTTGCAGGATCCACCACATCCAGTCCATGTAGATCCTCTCCGTGCGAGAGGCAGGGCAGTGCCTCTGGAGGTGGACTGCTGCGTTTTTCTGCAAAATCATTTAATAAATCAATATATATTAAAAAATAATACTCAATGAATGTTGCATGCGGAGAGTCAATAGTCTCAACCTAACCACCGAGTCTGACAGAAAACTTCATCCAACAACACAGTTCACGACAAAATAACTGAGGTACTTAAGTTGAATAGAAAAAAACAAATGCTTGTGTAAAAATGATTTAAGAGACTTAAATGAATGGCTGGTGAAACTTAGCAGCAGTGGGTAGGGACTTTTCGCCCACCCTGTACTAAGTAATTTGCTATTACTGCACTTCAAAGTGAGGAAATGATGAAACATAAAATAAATGGTTCATTAAATCAAACGTAGAAAACAGTTGCACACCTACCACTTATTATTAAAACAAAACTCAACTGTACAATTTATACTTGTCATTTTCCTAGGTTCAACCCAATTAGCTATATGGGATAAAATTAATAACATTGAAATTTGAATAGTGCAAATTAGAACGTCCAGGGGGCATTGCTCAAGAGTTCAAGAGCATTTTAGGGACACAAATAGGTCTATGAGTAACCCAGGTACGTTATCTAACTTGATAACCCATTCCCTTCCGTAGTTTTAGCTTTTGTAACATTATCGATAAACATTAGAAGATCGAAATGAGCCATTGTGTTTCCAAACAACCTTGTACACAACTGATATGAACTGGTAATGCAGCATGTGTGAGTGAGGTGCAATATTCTTGTTTATCACACTGTCTGGTATTTGGCAGCCGCTGCTACTAGGTAGCGACTCGCTCAGTGGCAAACAATGTCCGCCAGAAATAGCTGAGCCGCCAACCAACATCACGAGGCTTGCTGATTGCAATACCTTTTTATACCGTTGTGTTGTAAAGTCCGCCTGAAGTTTAATTTGGTTAGCACAGGTACAATAATCGTATGTAAAGTGCAACCTCTCTTAGTCGACCATTGTTGGACTGGGGCTTGGTCAAATAGCATTAAAGGTCACTTAAATCAGACACCTATACAAACATGTTAAATATTGTATATGTGTGTATTATTGATTTTGTATGAATGAAAAATGCAAACACGAGCAAGTACCTGAGCATTTATTGTATTTCGCTTATGGCAGCAAATCAACATTTTAGTTTGAATAATGTCCACCTATACCAGGAATCCGTGTAGATGAGTGAGCTGTTACCACTACAGTTTGAATCAACATTTTAGAAGAACAGGATTAAAAAGAGTTTCTACCACAGGAAGTCTTTTTGTCAAAATGTAATATACGGATAGTGGAAGGTGTTTCTAATTAAATCCATTCTCAACTGATAATTGTATGAAAGTCAGTCTAAAACTAGCAAGTGACTCACAACATGTTTCTTGGCGATATGCATGACTGTTCTCCATGTGACTTCGTAAAGCAGTTTGGTTTGTGTGATGAAGACTTTCTGTTTTGATGCCACCAGGCTGGCGAGACTGTTGTAGCATTCCTCCTCTGAAACAAAGAGAAACACTCGTTAAACAAGCTACTCAAATCACTTTACATACATGTTTATTGTTTTACACTTGCATTCCAATCACAAAGATTCCATTGCCTGTGATCTCAATACAGTGCACCCTCACTAAACTTACCCCCTCCGGACCGGACCTTTGTTCGATAAACCAACAGGATTGAAAACAGGTAACTATGTAAACATATCTTCCTACTGCACTTACTCTACTAATACTGCAGAAATGATTTAATAAAATGTTGTGTTCAAAAGGTAGATGACACTCCAACAAATTGGAAAAATTGATACATCTACTTATTAAATAAATATACCAATGCTTAAACATGACAAATACAAGGATTTTAGTTTTTCAACTTTTAATTTTCATTTGTGAGTTTTGTGCCAGCAAAATTGCTGGCTGCCATGTGTGACATGTAAACCCACTGTGTGTAAACTGTTTTTGACAGCTCAGACAACAACTGCAAACAAGAGTGTCCACGGTGAAATAAATTTAACTGGAACACAACATCCGAATGGAAAGTTTGTAGCTTAACTCGGTGGCAGAATTGGCATAAACAGACAGACGAATGTATGCCGATGTCGATATATCAAAGTGTGTTGAACGGCATGATAAATCTGTCACTAGCGCTCGAGTGGCGTGCGGCCAACGTAAATATCTTGGACACAAACCAGCACCCGCGCTGTTTATCTCCGATCCATTTTGGAAAACATTATTTTTCTGCAACCGAGTTATTGCGGTTTAAGTGGATCGGAATGTTTTAAATCCCTCGAGTGGGCGAGAGTGTGCTAAATCTGAATAACATCCAACCTTCCACATTTAGCCACAACATTCCTCAGATATTACTACCAGATTTTTTTGGAAGGTAACATGTGCTTAGCTCTCTTTTCAACCTTATAAAGATGTTTTCAAAGTAAAATAATTGAACAGGGCAATGGAATGAACACAGTAAATGTATAGTATAATACTGAGATGATTAATTTGTCTTTTCTTGTAAGTTAATCCACGACAGCAACCCAGGAAAAATTAAAGCTGAAGAAAATATTACAATTTAAAAACACTCAAAAACTGTCTAGTGTTCATGTGTCCTAACTCTCTAGATGATTTTTCAAATAAACTTTTGCAATGTATTATTTGTAGAATACTGTTATGTCATAAGATGTGAACAATCATTGTTTTTAAAAACTTAATATAACGAATTAACATAAAATTTTTAGTCCTCACCAAACATTACCAAGTTAAAAACATACTGTATAATAAAAGTATATGAATATTATTTTTCGATCTGGTTGATATGTACCCATCACGCCATGCATCAATTAAACATCATACGATTTTCATCGCCTGATCCCCTCTCCACCTTCCATGTCCGTCCGTCTCTTCAGTCTTCACTACAGTCAACCTCTAGCAGCCCAACCCAAACATCATGCGTGTCCGTGTCTTGCAAATGCAACTGTTATAGTAATTCCTTCCACCAATAATGTTAATGTGTGAATCACAATCACAACGCTTTGCCAACACAGTTTTTAAACGTTTTAAAAGTGTATAGGAAAATAAAATCATTTATCGTTAAAACGACTATAGGTTTTCTCATGCATCTCAAAATTAGTCTTAAACAGTAAGTCAAAGCATTTTTGTTTAATGCACGACTAAACAAATATGTACAATGCATTATTTGAAAATTTAACCATCAAAACAATTTAGGATGATTTAGGCGACAAGAAAGGTTCATGGTAGATTTAGTGATTCGTGAAATTCACTGAGATGAAATTGAGAGATATTTAATTCAAGTGGCTTGACAGTACATTATGTCTGTAGATACCATCATATCACTCATTGTCAATCACACAACTTCCCAGTTTATCAACTATCAACTCAAACATTGTCAACATAGCTCTTATGTCAACTGAATTATTATTAGAATTAAATATTTTAATATTTAGTTTTAATTTTTCCAAAACCAAATTTTGCTCTTACATAAGAATTTTGCATTAGAGGTTAAAGAGCCTGAATACAAGAACTGACTCTACAATTTAACTACCTATATAACTTACAACTTATAGTTTAATTTCAAGAATATATTTTTTTTTTATATTTTAGGTTTTAATTATAGGCATTTTTCTGATGTTATCTTATAATTTGTATTTAAAAGAACTAGGGGCTTATATCACTACATAATTGATAAAACTGATAAAAGTTGTTTAAATGTAAAATTTAAGATTTCCCTAATTAATATGCAAGCATGTTTCTTTAAAACCTTTTTTCTCAGATCATGTGCATCTATGGGAAAATATACGCATACTGTTAGAAAGATATTTTCTTGGAGGAGTGCAAAATGCCTTTATAAATTAAAATAGGCTAAAAAATTTAGTTAAATTCAAAAATTTAATAAAATTAGCATGGGCAAATGGGTTACCATGCCAGTGACGAAACAACAACAGAAAATAAATACAAATGGAAGAAATTCCAATCACATGTTTTATTTACAGCGTGGGGTGAAAATAGAGAAGTCGGTACATTCGGTATTTTTGGTTGAGTTCGATTTCTAGTTAATATTAAAAAAATGTTTTTAAACAGAAATATATTCAACAATTCTTTTGTTATAAATTTTAATTATGCCTCTTTTAAATTGAAATACCTAAAAACATAAACATATATAACAATACCCCCGCCGCAGCAAACCTGCAGACTAAGCGAATTTCCATTTCCCTGAATGGATTTACACTAAAATGTCTCCTTAAAAATATCACATTTATTCCCTATTTAAATAGAATCAGTTTAAAACATACTTAGGTTTGCTGCAACAGGAAAAACCCATTTTTACCCCATAAAAGCCCCCATAAACCCCCGTTCCCATGGTCCGATCATGCTGGTTCGCGAACTCGTTCGAATAAACGTAGGTTTACACGTTTGTACAAAATTTCATCGAAATCGGATCATTTTTGCTCGAGTTATCGCGCTAACGGACACATATATATATATATATAAATATATATATATATATATATATATATATGAATTTGAACGGATGGTGTTTTTGACCTCTAGGGACCTCAAAACGAAAAAAAAAATCGGTCCCGGGTCCAGGTCTTACCGTGAGTACTACGGTAATAGCTTATTTTTCCTATATGGGAAATTCGCTAAAAACAATAATAATAAGTATTTTTGAAAATTTTTACAACTTATGACAGAAAATGCTCAATAACCGTTTTGAAAATTACTGACAGAAGCCAAAGGTTGACAGGGGTCCATTAAATTGTGTCCTTTAGGCAATCGGCATAAAAAAATCCAATTTTGGTCACACTAGGTGCTACATAAATCTTTCTGTTATTATACTTACATGACATCTACATAGAACAAAACAAGTAGGATAAGTGAAACATAATATTGGACTTATTGCCCTTGTTGGTTAACCATCCTGCCATTAAGTTATTGTCCCAATAAACCAGGCTAACATTGACACCCCCTGTATCATATTAAACCACTTGGAGCAATCATACCATCAGACAACAACCTAACAACTGTGGGGTATGGGAAGAAGTGAACGTTATGTAAATTGTTGGTACAGAAGAGAGACAGACATTATAATGTATATCTGTATTTCAAAACATTCACAATTATACAGGTATTATTACAATGATTAGTAACTGGTGAAGAGTAGAAAAATGCCACATTGGTTAACATAACAAGATATCCTCCAGATCCATCCACCATGTTTGGGACGTCTTTCCATATGGATGGAGATGAATCTATGAAAGTTAATCTGAACTTCAAGAATAACAATCTATAGCTTGTAAAGCTGATGACTAGGACAAATTTTAAAAACCTCAATCTTGGAATCTTAATTTACATCAAGTAGTTTAGACTGGTCCACCCATGATTAGATATGAATTTCAAGTAGCCTATATTAGATTACTTATGCTACTGAAGATTTACTTAGAGATTCCATCTATATGGACGAGCTGTAGCAGTTTTTAAAATGAGCCACTCACATAATGTGCCACTGTCAAAGTTGTATTTTTCTCCTTAGTGTTTATTACTATTATAGTTGAAGTGACAGAAAAGAAAGTAAAGTTTAAAATACATTAAGTTCTCTTTGAAGCCTGGTTGGTTTAGTTTGCATATTCAACAGCATTCAGTGATTAAAATCAGATCTCTCTCTCAGGTGGCTCAATTATTCCAATATATATTTATTTACTAGAGGTCGTCCAGTGGTCGAAAACTCGACCAAAAATATCTAATGTACAGACACTTCTCTATTTTCACCCCTTACTGTAAATAAAACAAGTGATTGGAATTTCTTCCATTAGTTTTGATTTTCTGTTAATATTTCGTTGTTATTTCGTCACCAGCATGGCAAGCCCATAAGACCCATGACATTTTTTAAATTTAAAATTCATATTTTTGTGCTTATTTTTTAGCCTATTTTAATTTAATGGGATTCTGCACACCTACAGGCAAATATATTTCTAACAGTATGCGTAGATTTTCCCTCTGATGCACACGAGCTGAGAAAAAAGGTTTTAAAGAAACATGCTTGCCTATTAATATATAGATTCTAAATCAACCACAACTTAAACGCGTAAATGGAATAACTATTTATATAAATAGTTAAAACGTTGACCCTAAAGAAGTAGTTAGAGAATAAAAGACAACCATTACACACTGTCTCAATGTAATAAGAAAAATTTTAGCAATTCGGTAGCAATGACAAAAATTAAAAACAATCATGGTGCATTTAGTAACCATCAGAGGAACCACAGACAATTTCAAAAACTCAACTTTTCAATATCCAAAAACACTTTGACAGTTGACACATGGAAGTTAATTACAGTAGAAACAATGTAATCAAGAGCCTCCATGTGGTGACAGCTACTGCGTTGTGAGAGACATTGTCCAATATAGTGACACAACGCTTATCATAGTTGACACTGACAATGTAACAGAGAACCACAATGGTGCAGACTATTGAAACTGTTATCAGCC